TATCAATCAGCAATAATCATCAACCAAAGTTCAAATATCAGTGATAAATTATCAATCATCAATCATCATTCACACATCATCAATCATCTATAAGCAATCATCAATAATCAGTTATGATTCATCAATCTTCAAAATTCAATCATGAATCATCAATACACAATCCTCGTTCATCAATCATCATTCATCAATCATCAATCATCTATGATCAATCATCGACTATCAATCATCATTATCAATCTTCAATCTTCAAATATCAATCATCAATCATCAATCATCATTCATCAATTGTCAATCATCAATAATCAGCTATCAATCATCAATCTTCAAAAATTAATGATCAATCATCAATCATCATTCAATAATTATCAATGACCAATCCTCAAACATCAAACATCAAAAGTGAATTATCAATCATCAACCATAAATTATCAATCAATAAAAATCAATCATCAATAATCAATCATCAATCACCAATCATCAATCATCAATAAACAAATATCAATCAGCAATCATCATCCATCAAGCATCAAAAATCTGTGATCAATTATCAATTTTCAATCAATATTCATCAAACATCAATCATCAAAAATCAATCATCAATAACCAGTTTTCAATCAACAATCTTCAAAAGTCAATCATCAATCATTAATAATCAATCCTAATTCCTCAATAACCAATCATCAATCATCAATCATCAATCAAATATCATCAATCATCAATCAGCAATCAGCAACCAACAACCATTAAACATCAATCAAAAATAATCAATCATCAATTATCAATCACAAATCATCAATCATCAATCATCAATCATCAATCATCAATCATCATTCATTAAACATCAATCATTAGTCATCAATCATCTAACATCAATCATCGATTTTCAATAATCAATCCTCAGTTATCAATCACCAATCAACAACAATCAATGATCAATCAACAATCATCAATTATCAATCGACAATCAACAATAATCAATGATCAAACAACAATCATCAATCATCAATCATCAAACAATAATCATCAATCCTCAATCATCAAATACCAATCATCAATCAACAATTATCAATCATCAATCATCATAAATCAACCTTCAAACATCAATCATCAATAACGAATCATTAATAATTACTCTGCATTTATCAATCATCAATCATAAATCATCAATCATCAATAATCAATCATCAACCATAAATAATCAATCAATAATAATCAATCATCAATCAGCAATCATCAATCATCATTCATCAATCATATATCATCAATCAATAATAGTCAATCATCAATCATCAATCATCAATCATTATTAATCAATCACCAATCATCAATCATCAATCTTCAATTATCAATCAACAATCATGAATCATGAATCATCAATTATCAGTGATCAATCATCAATCAATAATAATTAAACAATAATCAACAGTCATCTAACTTCAATCATAAATTTTCAGTCATCAATCATCAATCATCAATCATCAATCATCAATCACCATTTACCAATTACGAATTATCAATCACCAATCACCAATCACTAATCATCAATCATCAATCATCCATCATCAATCCCCAATCTTCAATCATCCATCACCAATCATTAATTATCATTCACCAATTGTCAATCAATAATCACCAATCATCAATCATCAATTAACAATCTTGAGGCATCATTAATCAATCATCAATCAGAAATAATCAATCACCAATCATCATTCATCAAACATCAACCATCAATCATCAATCATCTATCATCAATCATCGATTTTCAATAACCAATCCTCAGTTATCAATCACCAATCAACAACAATCAATGATCAATCAACAATCATCAATTATCAATCGTCAATCAACAATAATCAGTGATCAAACAACAATCATCAATCATCAATCATCAAACATCAATCATCAAACATCAATCATAAATCATCAATAATCAACCATCAATCATCAATCATCATTCATCAAACACCAATCATCAATCAACAATTATCAATCATCAATCATCATAAATCAACCTTCAAACATCAATCATCAATAATGAATCATCAATCATAACTCTGCATTTATCAATCATTAAACTTCAATCATCAATCATCAATAATCAATCATCAACCATAAATATTCAATCAATAATAATCATTCATCAATCATGAATCATCAATCAACAATAATCAATCAGCAATCAGCAATCATCAACAATGAAGTATCGAACATCAGTGGTCAATCATCAATCATCAATCTTCATTCATCAATCATCAATCATCAATAATCAATCATCAATAAGCAGTTATCAATAATCAATACTCAAACATCAATCGTCAATAATTAATCATCAATCATCATTCATCAATCATCATACTTCAATCATCAACCATTAATAATCAATCATCTATCATCAATCATCAATCATCAATCATCAATCATATATCATATATCATCAATCAATAATAGTCAATCATCAATCACATATCATCAATCATCAATAATCAATCACCAATCATCAATCATCAATCTTCAATCATCAATCAACAATCATGAATCATGAATCATCAATTATCAGTCATCCATCATCAATCACCAACCTTCAATCATCCATCACCAATCAATAATTATCATTCACCAATCATCAATCATCAATCATCAATCATTAATCATCAATTATCAATCAGCAATAATCATTGACCAAAGTTCATATATCAGTGAAAAATTTTCAATCATCAATCATCATTCATACATCATCAATGATCTATAGGCAATCATCAATAATCAGTCATAAATTATCAATCTTCACACATCAAGCATGAATCATCAATAATCAATAATCATTCATCAATCATCAATCATCAAAAATCTATCATCAATCATCAATCATCAATCATCTATCATTATTCATCAATCATCAATCATCAATCATCTATCATCAATCATCGATTATCAATCATCAGTCATCAATCATCAATCATCAATCATCAAACATCAAAAATAAATCATCAATAATTAATCATCAATAACCATTCACCAATTACCAATTATAAATCATCAATCATGAATCATCAATCAGCAATTATCAATCAGCAATCATCATCAATCAAACTTCAATTATCAGTGCTCAATTATCAATCGTCAATCATCATCCATCCATCATCATTTCTCAATCAGCTATCATCAACCAAAATTCAAAAATCAGTGATCAATTATCAATCATCAATCTTCATTCATCAATCATCAATAATCAGTTAGCAATCAACAATCATCAGTTATCAATCATCAATATTCAAATATCAATCATCAATCATCAATCATCAATCATCATTCATCAATCATCAATCATCAATCATCAATCATCAATCACAAATTGTTAATCATCAACAATCAATCATCGATCATCAATTATCAATCATCATCCATCAATTTACAAACTTGAGGCATCAACCATCAATCTTCAATCACTAATGATCAATCAACAATAATCAATCATCAATTATCAGTTATAAATCATCAATTTTCAAACATCAATCATCAATCATCAATCATCAATCATCATTCATTAATTATCAATCACCAATCCTCAATAATCAAACATCAATAGTCAGTTATCAATCATCAACCATAAATCATCAACCAATAATGATCAATCATCAATCATCAATCATCAATCATCAATCATCAATCATCAATAATCAATCAGCAATCATCATCAATCAAGCATCAAACATCAGTGATCAATTATCTATGTTCAATCATCATTCATAAATCATCAATCATCATAAAGCAATCATCAATAATCAGTTCACAATCATCAATCTTTAAAAGTACATCATCAATCATCTATCACCAATCATCATACATCAATTATCAATCATCGATCATCAATCATCAACCATCAAATATCAATCATCAATAATCAAACATCAACCATAAGTCATCAACCAATAATAATCAATCATCAATCATCAATCATTATTCACCAAATATAAATCATCAAATTTGAATCAGCAATCATCATCAATCAAGCACTAAAATCAATGATCAATTAACAATCATCAATCATCATTCACCAATCATCAGTCATCAATATTTAATCATCAATTATCTGATATCTATCATCAATCTTCAAACATCAATCGTCAAACATCAGTCATCAATCATCATTCATCAATCATCATACTTCAATCATCAACCATTAATAATCAATCATCTATCATCAATCATCAATCATCAATCATCAATCATCAATCATATATCATCAATCAATAATAGTCAATCATCAATCATCAATCATCAATCATCAAACATCAATAACCAATCATCAATCATCAATCTTCAATCATCAATCAACAATCATGAACCATGAATCATCAATTATCAGTCATCAATCATCATTCAATAATAATTAATAAATAATCAACAATCATCTAATTTCAATCACAAACATTTCAGTCATCAATCATCAATCATCAATCATCAATCACCATATACCAATTACCAATTATCAATCACCAATCATCAATCATTAATCATCAATCATCAATCATCCATCATCAATCACCAACCTTCAATCATCCATCACCAATCAATAATTATCATTCACCAATTGTCAATCATTAATCACCAATCATCAATCATCAATTAACAATCTTGAGGCATCATCAATCAATCATCAATCACAAATAATCAACCACCAATCATCAATCATCATTCATACATCATCAATGATCTATAAGCACACATCAATAATCAGTCATAAATCATCAATCTTCACACATCAAGCATGAATCATCAATAATCAATAATCATTCATCAATCATCAATCATCTATCATTAATCATCAATCATCAATCATCATTCATCAATCATCGATTATCAATCATCAATCATCAATTATCAATCATCAATCAACAATAATCAAGGATCAATCAACATTCATCAATCATCAAATATCAATCATCAATCATCAATAATCAAACATAAATTATCAATCATCAATCATCAATTACCATTCACCAATTACCAATTATAAATCGTCAATCATCAACCATCAATCATCAGTTATCAATCAGCAATCATCATCAATCCAACTTCAAACATCAGTGATCATATATCAATCATCAATCATCATTCATCCATCATCAATTATCAATCAGCTATCATCAATCAAACTTCAAAAATCAGTGATCAATAATCAATCATCAATCATCATTCATCAATAATCAATAATCAGTTAGCAATCAATAATCATCAGTTATCAATCATCAATATTCAAATATCAATCATCAATCATCAATCATCAATCATCATTCATCAATCATCAATCATCAATCATCAATCATCAATCACAAATTGTTAATCATCAACAATCAATCATCGATCATCAATTATCAATCATCATCCATCAATTTACAAACTTGAGGCATCAACCATCAATCTTCAATCACTAATGATCAATCAACAATAATCAATCATCATTTATCAGTTATCAATCATCAATTTTCAAACATCAATCACCAATCATCATTCATCAATTATCAATCATCGATCATCAATCATCAACCAACAAATATCAATCCTCAATAATCAAACATCAACCATAAGTCATCAACCAATAATAATCAATCATCAATCATCAATCATCAATAATCAATCATGAGTCATCGATCATCACTCTTCAAATATCAATCATGAATCATCAATCATCAATCATAATTCATGAATCGTCAATCATCAAAATCAGTTATCAATCATCAATCATTAAAAGTACATCATCAATCATCTATCACCAATCATCATTCATCAATCAGCAAACATCAATCATGAATCACCAATAATGAATCATCAATTTTCAATCAGCAATCATTATCAATCAAGCATTAAAATCAGTGATCAATTATCAATCATCAATCATCATTCACTAATCATCAGTCATCAAAATTCAATCATCAATTATCTGTTATCTATCATCAATCTTCAAAAGTCAATCACCAATCATCAATCATCAATCATCAATCATCAATAATCAACCATCAATCATCAATCATCTATCATCGATGATCAATCATCGATCATCAATCATCAAAAATAAATCCTCAATCAATAATTATCAACCATCAATCATCAATCATCAATCATCAATCATCAATCACCAATCGTAAATCATCAATCTTCATTCATTAAACATCAATGATAAATGATCAATCATCAATCATCAAACATTAATCAATAATAATCAATGATCAATCAACAATTATATATCATCAATAATCAATCTTCAACCATCAATCATCAATCATCAGTCATCAATCATCAATCGTCAATCATCAATGATCAATCATCAATCATCGATCATCAATCATCAATAATCAATCATCAATCATCAATCATCAAACATCAATCAATAATAATCAATCATCAATATTCAATCAACAATCATCAAATACCAATCATCAATCATCAATGATCAATCTTCAATCATCAATCATCAATAATCAATCAGCAAACAACAAACATCAATCATCAATCACCAATCATCAATCATCAATCACCAATCATCAATCATCAATTATCAATCATCAATCATCAATCATCAATCATCAATCATCAATCATCAGTCACCATTCATCAATCAATAATCATCAATCATCAATCATCAAATATCAATCATCATTCATGAATCATCAAACATCAGTTAGCAATTATCAATCATCATTCATCATCCACCAATCATTAATCATCGCGCATAAATAATCAATCATCAGTCATCGAAAGTCAATCGTCAATAATCAATCATCAATCATCAATCATCAATTATCAATCATCAATCATCAACCATAAATCTTCAATAATTATAATCAATGATCAATCATCAAGCGTCAATCATCAATGATCAATTATCAATCATCAATCATCAATATATTATCACCAATACTCAGTCATCTATTATCAATGATCGATTATGAAATATCAATGATCAATTATCAATCATCAATCATCAATCATCAATCTTCAATCATCAATCATCAATCATCAATCATCAATCACCAATCATCAATCTTCAATCATCAACCATCAATCATCATTCATCAATCATCAATCATCAATCATCAATTTACAAACTTGACGCATCAACCATCAACCTTCAATCACTAATAATCAATCAACAAAATCAATCATCAATCATCAGTCTTCTATTTTCAAACAGCAATCATGATCAGTCAAACTTCATTCATCACTGATAAATTATCAATCATCAACCATCATTATTCAATCATCAATAATCAATAAGCAATCATCAATTATCATTTATCAATCATCAAAATTCAAACATCAATCATCAATAATCAATCATCAATAATCGACCTACAATCGATGATAATCTATCATTAATCATCAATCATGAATCATCAACCATCAAACATAAATCATCAATCAATAATAATCACTCATCAATCATCAATCATCAATCGTCAAAAATCAATCAGCAATTATCACTCATCAAAAATCTATCATCAGTCATCAATCGACAATCATCAGTCACCAAAGATCAATCATCAATCATTAATCATTAATCATCAATCATCAATAATCAATTGCCAATAATCACTCATCCATGATTAATAATCAATCATCAATAAACATTAACCAATCATCAATTATCAATAATCAATCATTATTTATCAATCATTGATAATCAGTCATCAATCATCATTCATCAATCATCTATCATCAAACGTCAATCGTCAATAATCAATCATCAATCATCAATCATCAATTATCAATCATCTATCATCAACGATAAACCATCAATAATTATAATCAATCATCAATCATCAAGCGTCAATCATCGGTCATCAACTAACAACCATCAATCATCAATCATCGATAATCTATCATCAATCCTCAATCATCTATTATCAATCATCCTTAATGAAATATCAGATATAAATTATCAATCATCAGTCATCTATCATCAATCATCAATCATCAATCATCAATCATCAATCATCAATCACAAAATATTAATCATCAACCATCAATCATCATCCATCAATTTACAAACTTGAGGCATCAGCCATCAACCTTCATTCACCAATAATCAATCAACAATAATCAATCATCAATTATCAGACATCAATTATCAATCAGCAATCATGGTCAATCAAACTTCAATCATCAGTGATCAATTATCAATCATCAATCACCATTCTTCAATCATCAATCAATAATAATCAATAATCAATCATCAATCATCAATCGTCAAAAATCAATCAGCAATCATCAATCATCAAATATCTATCCTCGAACATCAATCGACAATCATCAGTCATAAAAAATCAATCATCAATCATCAATCATCAATCATCAATCGTCAATAGTCAATAATCACTCATCCATGATTGTTAATCAGTCATCAATAAACATTCACCAGTCATCAATTATCAATCATCAATCATCAATAATCAATCATCGATCATCAATCATCAATCATCAATCATCAATCATCAATCATCAAACATCAATCAATAATAATCAATCATCAATATTCAATCAACAATCATCAAATACCAATCATCAATCATCAATGATCAATCTTCAATCATCAATCATCAATAATCAATCAGCAAACAACAAACATCAATCATCAATCACCAATCATCAATCATCAATCACCAATCATCAATCATCAATTATCAATCATCAATCATCAATCATCAATCATCAATCATCAATCATCAGTCACCATTCATCAATCAATAATCATCAATCATCAATCATCAAATATCAATCATCATTCATGAATCATCAAACATCAGTTAGCAATTATCAATCATCATTCATCATCCACCAATCATTAATCATCGCGCATAAATAATCAATCATCAGTCATCGAAAGTCAATCGTCAATAATCAATCATCATTCATCAATCATCAATTATCAATCATCAATCATCAACCATAAATCTTCAATAATTATAATCAATGATCAATCATCAAGCGTCAATCATCAATGATCAATTATCAATCATCAATCATCAATATATTATCACCAATACTCAGTCATCTATTATCAATGATCGATTATGAAATATCAATGATCAATCATCAATCATCAATCATCAATCATCAATCTTCAATCATCAATCATCAATCATCAATCATCAATCACCAATCATCAATCTTCAATCATCAACCATCAATCATCATTCATCAATCATCAATCATCAATCATCAATTTACAAACTTGACGCATCAACCATCAACCTTCAATCACTAATAATCAATCAACAAAATCAATCATCAATCATCAGTCTTCTATTTTCAAACAGCAATCATGATCAGTCAAACTTCATTCATCACTGATAAATTATCAATCATCAACCATCATTATTCAATCATCAATAATCAATAAGCAATCATCAATTATCATTTATCAATCATCAAAATTCAAACATCAATCATCAATAATCAATCATCAATAATCGACCTACAATCGATGATAATCTATCATCAATCATCAATCATGAATCATCAACCATCAAACATAAATCATCAATCAATAATAATCACTCATCAATCATCAATCATCAATCGTCAAAAATCAATCAGCAATTATCACTCATCAAAAATCTATCATCAGTCATCAATCGACAATCATCAGTCACCAAAGATCAATCATCAATCATTAATCATTAATCATCAATCATCAATAATCAATTGCCAATAATCACTCATCCATGATTAATAATCAATCATCAATAAACATTAACCAATCATCAATTATCAATAATCAATCATTATTTATCAATCATTGATAATCAGTCATCAATCATCATTCATCAATCATCAATCATCAAACGTCAATCGTCAATAATCAATCATCAATCATCAATCATCAATTATCAATCATCAATCATCAACGATAAACCATCAATAATTATAATCAATCATCAATCATCAAGCGTCAATCATCGGTCATCAACTAACAATCATCAATCATCAATCATCG